CAGACTGACAAAATAGGAACAGCCACAGTTACTTTGTAGGATCCATGGCGGTTCATACGTAGGAGGGGGTAGAAAGGCTGAACAGCAGACCTGCTGCCTGAGAAACTCACAGTATTGGCAGAACAAGAGTCATCTCTCTACCTGCGAAATAAGCTTCAGCAGCGGTTCTCAACCTTCCTAATGCCGCGACCCCTTAATACAGTTCCTCATGTTGTGGTGACCCCCAACCATAAAATTATTTTCGTTGCTACTCTATAACTGTAATTTTGTTACTGTTATGAATCGCAATGTAAATATCTTTTTGTTTTCCGATGGTCTTAGGCGACCCCTGGGAAAGGTCGTTTGACCCCCAAAGGGGTCACGACCCACAGGTTGAGAACCGCTGGAATCTAGGGGAAACGGCTCTGCTTTTCTTAAAGGTGCCCTCAAGCCATTTGGCCATTCTGCCTGCCGCCCATCCGTGTAGACTTCCACCACAGCTGGTGGCTATAAGTGACTAAAAATGCTGAAAACGAGCTCAGTTCACAACCTCCATCTGAAGAGACTAAGGAGGCTTGATCAAGAATCCACATTAACTTGATACGGCTATTAAAGAGGAAGAATACCTTGATTGTGGTAGACTTCTTTCTAAAGTGGCTTCAAATGTTTTTGGTTTCAACTTCTGCTGCTGGATGCTGTCATTTCCAGCAAACAGATGTCCAGCTATTGTTTATGATCATCGACCTGCATCTGGGTGTAAAGACCTCATCAATAGGCATTGGAACTAGGCTTCCAGCCCTTAAGCCTTGATAAAGAATTTAGGCTAAGAGGATAATATTGGCAGGCGAGGATGACCGAAAGAAGAAGGCTGACCATTGCCCAGTAATCTGTTTTCATGCTCACTGCTGGAGTCAGCTGTGACTGCTCTATATTAATCGGGGCAGTATCTCAAGATAAATGTGTCTACTTAAACTTAAGGATTGATAAGATCAATGTGCATCTAGAAATAGTTATCACTGGTTAAGTGCCTACAATGTACCAGGGGCCGCGTTAAGTCCTTTGCATATATCGTCACATTTAATTCTCATAAAAAGCATGTTATAATAATAACTGTTAACACTTATTAAACCATCACTATATGCCAGACTATACTGACAGCTTTACACGTATCGCTCTTTTAGCCCTCAATCACACCATTGGATGTGCCTATTACTATTATTCTTCCCTAACAAGAGAGGAACCTGGTTGAGCCCTAAAATGGGCCAACAAGTCATTCCAGCCGGATCAGCTGGGAAGGTTCCCCCTGAAGGTAGGTTCTCCCGAAGGCAGGCTTGATTATGGCAGAGTGAGTAGAACATTTCTTGGGGATCGTTTACTTTCCTTTATATTGCCCTGTATTTTCTAAATTTTCTACAATGAGCAACTGTTACTTTTTAAAGTAAATGTTCAAAGAATACTGAGTATATATTATCATGTTAAACATTCAGGTACACAAAGCCCTTTCCTTAAATTCTTGCCTCCCTCTCCCTGCTCCACTCTCCTTTCCAGAGGTAACCAGCGAGAACTTTGTATGAATTCCTTAAGACCTGCATTTTCCTATAAGGAAGTCACTACCCACATGTGGCTATGGAGCACTTAAAATGTCCTAGTTCAAGTTCAAATGTGCTTGTAAGTATGAAATACACGTGAGATTTGAAGACTAAGTATGAAAATAGAGTGTAAATTATCTCATATAATTTATATAGTGATTAAATGTTGAAATGATAATATTTTGGATATATTGGGTTAAATAAAATATAGTATTAAATTAATTTCATCTGTTTCTTTTTACCTTTTCTAATATAGCTACTAAAAAAGGTGGCTCACATTACATTTTCTATTGGACAGAGCTGCTCTAGAGTCTAGATCATTTTAGTACACTTATATGATTATATGTATACACAGAAATATAGTTTTTTGGTGTTTTCTAATATAAATATGCATTACCTTTATACTTGGATTAAAACTTTTTTTCTTAAAACAAGAACTTTAAATTTTAAATGCGCTGGGCATCAAATTAATTCCTTTCTTCCTCCCTTTCTCTTTCTCTTTCTCTTCGCCTTCTCCACTCTCCACCCCCATACTTCTTGACAACCTACAAAGCCTCAAAGCGAAGAAAGCAACACTTATTCTTGGCCATACAAATGCTGAAGTGAGCACACATAATATTTGGATGAATTCAACACAGGTACAAATTAACAAAAGAGCATCCCCTTGTTGGATAAAAGAAAATGCTAGTCAGTGGAGGAAGGTTTGGAGTTAATTGCTCCTAGACAAAAGACACAGGAAATAACTGCATTACCAAAAGTGACTGGTAGTTATTTTTAAATAATTAGATCGAAATTTGCTATTCTTACCGCATCATGTCTTTCAGATATTTTTTGCAATAGGCATAGTCCCATTACTTTATGTTGGGTGACAACGCACTACTAACTACTTTCACTATAAAGTACCCACCCCACCCCCAGTTCAACTACTAAATCTGAAATAATGCTAGAAATAAATGCTGACACATGTGACCTATGTGCTCCCTAATTTGCTAAGTTCTGACTAGTGAAGTAATATTGCAAATATTTTATAATGTACCTAACAGATTTTATTTTGTCTCACATCTGACAATGAACCCAGTTCAGTGAATTCTGCAAAAGAAATGACCCCAAACAAGTGCCCCTTTCTCCTACACTTACAAAACGGCTGCATATTCATAAACAATTTACACAGACTGCACTCGTGTAAATAAGCTGGGGACACGTACACATGCAGCATTCTTGTGTTGGGCTAGAAGGGTGTTTCCCACGCTCTAGCAAGGCCTTAACACATGCAAAACATGAACAGCGCTTACTTGGCCTCAGTGTAGAACCTCCTTGAGGGCAGAGGGGAGAGAAGAAACATTAGGCATGAGCAGAGGTGCTGTGATAACCCATTATTTTCATTCTTGTGAGTGCTTTTTGGTGCTCTGTCCCATTTATGTCCCTCTGGTTACATGCCGCATTGATAAAGGTCTGCCTGCAGTTGAAGGCCTGTTTATTCCTTTGCTTACTCATTGCTGCTCTAAGAAAAGCTTCCCAATAGGTAAAATGAGGCATTGGATGGGGAGCGCCAACATTTTCTTCTAGCTGCTAATTCTCCTAGTTTAACAAATCAAATTTTCCTTGAGCAGATTCCATGGAGGCTGGTTTTTTTAAAAAAAATTTTATTAATTTATTGGTGTGACATTGGTTAATAAAATTATATAGGTTTCATAATACATCATCTGCATATTGCCTCGTGTGTTCATGGGGGCTGTTTTAAATGCTCCCTATTGATAGGAAATTTGAAAAGCGTCTCTTTTCATTTCCTCCTGTTGCTCACCATCTTTTTTCATCATTCAAGTGAGAATGGAGAGAAAACAAAATACATACAAAGACGAGGGTAACAGGGATTTTCAACCTTTTCAGAAGCACTATATATCACTGCAATTTAGACAAGCTTTTGAAACTTAAAAGGAATAAAATCTCCCTTAATTAGGATTGACTTCATCTGAGTAGATACCATCTGCTGTAACAGGCCAACCCTGTCCTTCGTGGGCCTCGGCAGCTACAGGTGAGTAGGCCCCCCTCTCCTTTGCCACACCCCTGCTCACAAAGCTGCCAGGGGGGCTCTCAGGCAGTATCAGCAGGCAGGAAGTGGGGTAGGAGTGAGGGGGTCTCCACCCACTAACAGCTGCTTAAGTAGCAGGCAGGGGATCTTTTCTACAGAGAAATTTAGGTCAGCAGATACTCCAAACCAATTTATACCACATGCTACCCAGTTGCAGCATTAAATTAAAACGCTAGGAAAGGACCTAGAATATCAATCCCCTTATTTTTTTTTCTACCTTGTGCTTGGCACCCAATAGAATAAAGCAATAACAGTTGGACTTGGTGGTTTAAAGGGAATTATGAGGCAATTGGAAGGAAGCGAAGACAGCACACACCAAGGGAAGCTGTCTCTATGGAAAATCAGGTACCAGCGATTAAATGTCAAGACCCATTGTTGTCAAAGTGGTGACATCCACACAGGTTTAGTAACTTGCTCACTCAGATTTAACCTATAAGACAAGCTTGACAGATTATCAGGATCTTTGGGGGAGGGCAGTGGGTGGAGTAGGGAAAGGAGTGAGGTAATTTTTGAAAATGACTTCATAATTTTTTTTAAAAAGCACAATAATATTATCATGTCAGGTTTCTGCTGTAGCCTATTCTAGAGTAATGTGAAATAAAAGTGTTGCCAAGCATAGGGACAACATTTCCAAATAAGTCATCATAGATTACATTAAAACTTTAAAATAAAAATGTGTAAACATGTGTTTGTCCCTCAGACTTTAGTGCATTTATGTTAACATTTTCTTTGCAGGAGAAATTTGACTTTTTTCTTATGCTACTTCTTTAAGCATAATTTTCTTTTTCTTTTTTTTTTAATTGGGGAATTGGGGGATGGGAACAGCGCTGGGGAGTTGGGGGAAGGGGAACAGACAAGTTGCTGTCCTTCTGTTCTTCAGTCTAGTTGTGGAGGACGTTGCTTTACTGGCCCAAGTTGGCACCATCATTGTGCTCTTCCTGGGCGAGGCAGATCATTCACTGGCTTCTGGACGGCCGCTCACTGCGGCTGCTGGCCACTCACGCTGGCTGCTGGCTACACACGGTAGCCCATGGCAACCCACTGCAGCAGGCGCTGCAGGCTACGCCATTGCTGGAGACTCACGGCAGCCCAGCTCCAGGTTGAGCTGTTGTTAAGCATCTTAGCTATAGAGGGCAGTGTCACTGGCCCTCATATGTGGGATCCGAACTGGGGCCCTCTGGCGTCCCAAGCCAGCTCTTAACCAAAGTGCCACTTGGCCGGCCCTTAAGCATACTTTTCTATGGCTTTAGCAAATGAACAAGAGCTGGGGTCACAATTTTTAATCTATACTTAAAAATAATTTTTTACATTCCCTCAACAATAGGAAAGCATTAAGCGATTACCTCTGTAAATGTGTTCCGATTGGCTTGCAAGCCAACTTTTACTACCTCGAAAGGGTTAACCACAATGGCTTCTGTTAGTCCAGATGCCAGTCCAGCAATGGCGAATGTCTAGAAAAATTAAATAAGTCAATACTTTAAAACAAGGTATCATGTGTACTGTGTTAAGCATCCTCCTCATAACACAACACAATGAGACTAGAGAAATGTACATAAATGTACCATATACCATTACTAAACAGCTTTAGTTCTTGGTTAGATGCTGACCATGAAGAAAAAATTATAGAAGCCACAAACCACATCCTAACAATTCAAAATAAAATGTCAAAGCTCCATCAAAAACGATTTTTTCTCTAATGAAAAGAAAGGTTGTTTTACTGAGTTAAGGTGAATCCTAAAACATCTGCACATGTAGCGATTAAAAGAGAGTTTGACTTGTAGGAGGAGAGCTTCATTTTTAAACATCTATTTACATACACTATTGAGCCAATAAAAACAATTCAAGGAGCAGAACCACAAATAAAATGTCTATAAAAAGCTAAATTTCAGGTAACCAAACAGTATAGCTGAAAAGATTTAAATGTATAGCCATGTTCTTAAAGTTACTATTCTAGACTATTATTAAGCAAAAGTTATTTTTTATTCATCCTTTTCCCATTCCTTTAAACTGATATGGCCCTATTCTTCTATACCTAAAAGCTGAGGAATAAAAGCTGAGATCAGAAATGGTGAGGTTGTTCTGAAGGGCTCAACTAAAATCTAGAACATATATCAAAGAATCACTGTATGTCGAGTCCTTATTTGCTATCTGTTAAAGATTTCTGCAGTAAGGTAGAGCAACTTTCTAGAATTTTCTTCTAAGTAAGCTGCCTCAAGGTTTTTCAGAAAAATCTGTATCAAAAATAACCACAATGATTAAAAGACACAGGCACACACACACCCACACCCACACCCACCCACCCACACACACACACCACCCCGAGGAAAACAAAATGAAACAAGACCTCAAACTCTCAAAACGGAGGCTAAAAAAAAAAAAAATCTTTCGTGCTGAAGTTCTAATTTCAGAAGAGGCAGTACTGCATACAACTAAGAGGAGACAAAAGCCAATGAAATATAAAGAACAGGAAAGTCTTATTAGGAGTCTCTAATTTTTCCAAAGTAGGAGGCTTTAAAGAGGAAAGGGAAAAAGGAACGTTCCATAACCTTAGAAGGGCGGCAAGGTGGGACAAGGGCGGACTCCAGAGCTAGGAGGTCTGGGTTTTGGTCTGTTTCTGTCACTTACTGGCTGGTTTAGACCAGAGCTGCCATCTACATACATTAGTTTGTGTACAGAGGTGTGTGTGGAAGCTGAAATCCAGCCTGTGCCCCATTTGTGGAGCTGGAGTCCTGGAGAGGCATCAGTCAGAATAAAGGAGTGCCTTTTCATAATTCACAGAAAGACCCCATGGGCTAGCCGCAGCTTTGTGTCTAAATCACTGAATCTTTCATAAGCCACAGTTTTCTCATCTGTAAAATGGAGACAATAATATCTAATCTTCTTACCTAGTAAAGTTGGTATGAGGGTCAAAATCACGTGTGAAAGCCCTTGGTAAAGTCCTATACAAAAGCCATTCTTACGTTGCACATAAAAATGGAGAGGCAGAATGGCACCGTGTACCGATTCTAGGAGAGAGGGAATAACTAATGATGTTTTCCTTTCATGCCCCTTCATTACAATTTTAAACATATTTCCATAGAGCAACAGACCAAGTATTTTAATCATTGATATCAGACTTCCATCATGGAAGCCAAAAGCAGGGGGAAAAAAAAATACTAGTCCCAAACTTTTCTGACTGAAAAAGCTAAAATCCAGATGTTCGGGTTTTTATTACTATATGCAATCTTTCAAGTAATTCACTTTTTTGTTCTTCTATAAACTCAGCTACAGTTGCTGTCAGAAATAGTGTTCAGCAGTCCCTTGTCAAAAGAATTGATCAGCTATCAGCAGATCATGTTACTGAGATTGTTCCAGAGACCAGCAATAACTGTCGGGTTCCCAGCCTCCTAAGCTTTTCATGTGAAAGCACCAGGGGACATTTAACCACTGTTTAAGTGCTTAGCTGTATCAGAAAGAAACTGGAATAAAGGAGTTCAAGAAAAGGGGAAAACTGTATACAGTTTGCATGCGTAGGGACCAAAGCGCTGGAATCTCTCACATGGTACCAAGGCTCCACATAGGAACAGCCAGCCTGCCCTCTGGAGACTGTATTTTATTGTCTCTTGATAGCAAGGTTTTAATCCTCTTTTTGACAAGATGTTTTCAGAGTTAAGAGTAACATTAAGGGGAGACACTGAGGAATTAAAAAAAAATCTTAGCTCATTTTAGGACTTGTGGTCCTACCCCTTCCGTATGAGGCCACCTCACAGCCACCTTGTTTAGGTAGGAGGCTAGACAAGAGGTTTCTTTGTCATACCACTAAGCCATACAATTAGTTTTCTTAACACTATCCTTCCTAGAAAAGGGACATGTATGATGTTTTAAAATAACAGATCCTTCCATTTGGCAGAGTAAATATTCTGAAACGAACCTCTACAAGTAAAATAACGAAAGAGCTGATGCTCAGAACACTGCCTCTCTGGTTGAGTTTTGAGGTCCGTTTCAGCAGGCAAACTGGGGGTTTTTCTAGAGACTGGGAGGTACGTTGCCAATTGGAGGGCCAAGGCAGATATTTGACTTTGTTTTGTTTTACAGACGTGGAGAGAGAAATCAGTGCATTTGCTCTCTCTGGGGCTTGCATTGCACACATATTTGTAGAAAAAGCCAATGAAGTGTGAAGAACCCATTGGGTCAATAGAATGTAACTTGTTTTGTGACAGGCGGCACAGTCACCAAGAAGAAAAGGAGTGGCATCGGGAAATATTCAAATCACCAAGTGATTTGCATGTAATAGTTGAGATGTGTCCTTGTAAGATCACTATTCTCCCTGACCACAAAAGGCCCTTCATTCTGCATCTGACCACAGAGAGACCTGAAATCCTATATTTACGACAGCTTAAGTAAAGTCTGCAAAAGTGACCTGTTAGGAATCATTTCAGGCATCTTGACGTTTGCATAAATAGATAAGTGCAGTATATATGTAAACATATGCATGTTTTGGCTTTAAAAGAATCTTTGAAAATATACTCTTTATTTTATATTCTTGTCCATATCTCATATGAGTGTTTCTAAATATATCACCATTATCATAAATTCATTACTGGGAGCTACAAAATAGCCAAATTGTGAGTTATTAGGAAGATGGTTTTCAACAAGTAACGGAACATTGAATAACTCGAATTCATATTTTAGTAGTTGGGCTTGGGGAATCAAAAGGCTTCTTGTTTCCAGATTTTGCTCTATGAAATAACACACACACTTAAGTATAATAAATACTCTCACTTACCAAGGCTGGTGACAGTGACACAGATCCGAGCAATTTCTTATACTGCTCAAAGGTGAAAAACTGTGAAACAAAACCAAACCCAGAGATTTATAACAATTTCCTGCAACAAACCCTTTAACTGACTCAAATTTCTTTAGTAAATCATTATACTAACCAGCATTTTAAAAAATGATAAACCATCGAACAGTTTTTAATCTGGTCTCGGGTAGTTGCTATCTTACTTTAACATTCACATTTTCAAATGCAGCTATAATAACCTACAGAAGAGCTGGTGGAATCCTTTATAGAAGTAAATGAACCATACAGCTTCCATTTACCATGACCATTTTCAGTTTCCCCAGACATCAATAGACTTCTTTTTTATGGCAGTGATTCAAAATTATAGGCACAGAGACCTGAGATCTTTGGTCTCGTCTGTTTTCTCTATGAATTGCTTTCCCAGTGAATGCCCGATTTTCTAACCCGCTTGTAAAAGACACCCACTTCTCAGCTTTAACTTGCATTTGTATTGCTGTGTATCTCTACTGGTCTATGGAATGTCTAAATGCTTAGCGATGATGAAGATGCCATGATAAACTATGAGGTTGTCTAATCCATCCCTGCTTAAAGCCAGGCTGTTCTCTACCTGAATGGAGGAGAGCCGCTTACTCACTTCCTTTAAATTATCACCATATTAAAATACGGTGATGGTGAAGAGTTTATTCCTTCAGTAGATGATGTTTAATATTTTCCTGAAAATGAATTTCTATGGAGGCAAATCTAATCAGTCATTTCATATAACATACCCACCCCCCACCCCCCCCAATTTTTTTCTCTTCCTTGTCTATTTATATTCTACATTTTGGGCAACAACTCTACTTAAACATGATGTTTAGCTCCTGGGTACTCTGTTAGCTAGCTGCAAACTACAGTCGATGAGACCCACTTAGGTCCTGCTAGGATCCGTTTCTCAAGACCCCAGAAATGGCATGGGTATGTTATGGTCTCACATGTCTTCTACTCTATTCCTTTATAACCCAGTAAAATGGAGCAAGAAAAAAATTGTAGATTTGGGGACCAAATAAAATAATACCCCATTGTTAGAGAAAGGTAGTTCTGTGGTGTAGACATGGCTCTAGTGAGTCTTTGGGCAGCCCAAGTGGCTGCATCACCTCACAGATTTTGATTCTTTTAAAAAAACCAGGAACTATTTTTGTGCCATGCTTCTTTGGATCAGCTATGGGTGTAGCCTTTTCTAGAACAGGGATTCATTCATTCACTCATTCAACAAACATTTTATTGAATGTCTCCCAAGTTCTAAGAGGCACTGGGGATGCAACAGTAAACAAAGAGAACCCCTGCCTTCTTGATCTAACTCTGTAGTGGATGGTGATAACTCTGAAACTATCCTGGGGTTACAATAATATCACCAGGGTGGTGGTAGTCACTGTTTTGATGAGAGAGGTGCTAGAAACTGTTAACTGTGGAAGGAAATGTGTTATAGTCTTAGGCTTTAAAGGTAATTTATTTTTTCTTCCTTTTTATGGTCATCATCATCACTGGGTTTTTTGTTTGTTTGTTTGTTTTTTTGACAATTACCTTGCCGGGCTTTTGATGGGAGTAGTCCTGGTCTGAATTCTGACTATGCCACTTAGCTGTGAAAGGGTGGGTGAGTCGCTTGACCTTTCTAACCGTCAAGGACACAAAACTTACGTTTTAGAGCAGTCCTTAAATAAGAGCTTTTAAGTAAGATTCCCTGGCATGCCTGCACATTGGAGACTTGCAGAAAATCTTAGTTTCCATTCCCTTTTTTCATTTTGGTTACTAAAGGAACAACAGGCACTTTAGTTATTCATATCACTCAGGAGAGCCTGCTGTGGTCCAGGAAACACACTAAGGCCTTTGCATGTACTTCTGCATTTAATCCATACAACATCAGCAGGTCACAGGTTATGGTACAACCATGGTTCCCATTTTATAGATCTATGTCCTGCATTTGGTGAGTGCAAGGACCGAGATTTCCTCCTAATACCAAAGCCTGTGAATGCTCATAACCATAATACTATACTGACTCAGTGCTGAGCTGTGATTGTTGGTGGTTTGGGTAGAGACTGTTTGCCCTAGAGTTTTCTTGCTGCTGAGGTCTTGCCTTACCTGACCCTGGAAGCCCAGAGTCCCTCAAGGCAGATTTCAATTTTTTTATTATAATCTACATTAAAAACATTTGCCCAGCACAGGTACATGTATGCACACACATGCACATAGTGTGCTCATGTATTTATAACTGAAACAAAACATTGCTATAAAACAATATCTATGCCTTTACTATGAATAATTCTGTTTCTATTCTACTTTATTAAAAATTTTTTTCTGGTCAGGACCCACTGCATCTAGTGATTGGCTATACTGATTTCATGACTCATGGGTCATGACCCACGTTTTGGAAACACTGCTCTAAGGGGTCCAAGGGATCCCTGGGTTCAGGGAATTTCTGGGAAACAATGGGCCTCACTAAAGGCCCCACTTCCTTGTTCCTTTCTGGTGTAAAGATGCATTTTTTTCTTTCTGATTTTCTGTCATTACATTACTATGGAGGCAAACCCCTTCTGAGTATTCCTCTCAATTGCCTGTGCATTTTGAAGCCTTCTGATTTGGCTGGTGGGAACAGGTGCTATTCTCAGCCCTGTGTGACTAGGAACGCTGCTCCCTCCAGTCCTTGGATGGTTGTTCCCCAGGCTTTGCTAGTTTCCTCACACGCGTGCACTGGTCACTTCTCAACTGAATAGTTAAGGGGCCCCTTTGCAGATGCTTTAGAGCTCTGTGCAGTTCTCTCTTCTGCAGTACTCTGTCCTGTGAACTCTAGCTGCCTTGCCCTCCCCATCCTCTCAGCCCCTTCTCAACCCAGGACGTCCACTGAGCTCTGCCTAGATCCCCCCACCTGGGCTTGGAAACCCTCTCAAGGCAGTGAAGTGGAACAATCCATATGGCTCATCTCCTTTGTTTCCCATCTCACTATCCTTCCTTGTCCATGTCCAGTGTCTTGAAAGTTGTGGTTTCATTCATTTTTGTTGTTGTTGTTGTTTCAGGCAGGAGAGTAAATCTGGTTCCTGTTCCTCCATCTTGCCTGGAAACGGAAGTCTTGCCCTTCTGGAAACTCTGAATAGTAGATGTGGGAATTTTGGGGAACAGGACAGGAATGTCTCCTGCTATAAATCAATACATTTTCTTTCTGTTCCTCTCTCTATATGGCCCATTTATTTATCTAAAATGAATGAAACATCTAGTATGTGTAGACATTATGACAGGTGTAGAGATAGTGATGAACAAATACCCTTTACAATTTATAATCTCTCATGAGTTTGGTTAGCATTAGGCCAGCCTTGAGAGTCTGGAAAAAAGGTCTTTCTGGACATGTGAAGCTCAAGACTAAACCTTGGGACATGGAACACGGTGCCTCCCATTTCTGAGGAACCAGTTGGTCTTCTTTCTGAGGTCTTCATTTCCTTTTGCTAAATGCAATACTAATTCTGTTTTAATTAGTGAAAAGGGAAGTTGCATTTATATAGCGTCAATGAGTCTTATTATTTTAATGATTAATCTCATTTATAGATTAAAGTAAGGAAAAACTTAACATTATCTGTTTCTGATTAGAGTAATGATTGTAACTGAAATGTGTGTTCCAAAAAAGATCTATATCTATATCCATGTATGTATACAATATTCACAGGCCATATATATGTATAAGTGTGCATGTGTATATATGGTCTCTGAATATTTTTTCTGAGGTTTGATGACATACAATGAAGCAGTTTATGATATATGAAATCTATAATGATCAGATTATCACTCTCCTCACAAATCCTAAGATAAATATCTATAAAATGAATGTTTTCATAAATTGTGTTGAGAAAAATAGTGCTATCCATCTGGCAAAGATACACTTAACTCCAAGTTATACTTAAAAAGCCAACATATTTACCATATGTCTCCATAATTTTAAGGTAAATCTACTTGAAACAAGATGTCTGGGACACATATACTATATCCAGTTGCCCAAAAGTTCATCTGTTAACCATTGCTCTGGCAGGGAGCATTGCTTTTTTTAAAAGCTCAACTTAGTTTTATAAAGCTCAGCTTTTTTTTTTCTATAAAAGACTGTTCAACATTGATAAACCTTAATCCTCTTAGAGTTTAAATTGTCTCCAATGTACAGTATTAAGGAAAAATATTCCAAGAAAAACTTTAAATTATAATTTACTTTATTTATACATGTAAAACACTGAACAAATGAATATATTATTCCATGGAGACAAAGTGACTTCCCTTTTGAACAGGAACTCTGCTCTGTTTGCTTACTTGGGCAATCTTTTATCAAGTGAAGCCATTTCATAATTCAATTCAGCTCTCTTGTGTACTTTGGTGAACTTTTTCCAGATTCTCAACTGTGATTCAGATCCTTATTGAAATAATAATATAAAATCACAAAAACTATGGCAACAAAGAGAATGAATTTATAGAGTTTGTTTTAAAGCTTTGTTTTCTGAATTCTAGACCTGAATTAAATCCTATTAAATTACTATTTGGCCATAATATAAAAGTTTGGTGTCTGTGTATATATGTGGTTATTTTATCATAAATGTTAACCTAGTCACTCTCTTAATTTACTGAATAAAAATATATAAGCTGCCCCTTCTTACCTTTCAGGAATATTGCGAATACAAGTTGAATAATGCACATGAAAAAAGTTTTATGTCATTAGTTGGTAAGGAAGCCTTTCAGTCTAAGTTTATGTTATCTTTAATATGAAAAGACAAAGCCATAGGCAGTGATGTCAGTGGTGTGGGGGTGGGGGACACTGCCAATCAGAGTCACTGTGATCAGGGCTTTTGTCTGAGAAAACTTATAAAAAAGTGATCAGATTTAGTTCTTTCTTCCTTGGAGGTCCTGCCAAACCTCTGTGTTCCTATCCAGACACAGAATCAGTAAGTAGTACATAAAACTCCATAGTTATGTGGTTAAAGAGATGGAAATGAAGGTAGTGGAAATAGCAGTTTTGTGAAAACCAGAATAGAACATTTTAATAGAGGAGATAGGGGGTGGGGAGAATGAAGTTAACACGCCAAATACACGTGTTACATGTGAATCATATACAAGGTAGATAGAGTATTAGTTTGTTCTGTTGATAACATGAGAATGATTGAGGGAGAAAAGGTTTTCCACCTCTCCTCTCTCCTCTCTTTCCCCACTCTCTTTCTTTAATAATTATTGCTCCAAAGGAAAAAAGTATGAATTGCTCTGAAAAAAAGTCCAAGCTATTTTGTGGCTGCTGTGTTTTGATTACATGAATTCCATTCACCACTGTGATTTTTATATAGTTTCCTCATTAGAAGGGAGTGCCTTTACCTGAAAAAACAATCCACAAACCAATATTTGAGAGATGGATCAAGTCTAATGACAATAAAAATCATGTTATAATTTCTGCGTAAAAATCTTAGTATGTCCCATAGATTGCTGTGGGATGTTTTAACGCAGAGGCTGTCAGTGTAGTCTATTTGCACTTGGTGGGAAGGTATACACTACGTACCTTCACTGCTCTTTTTGGTGTTTCAACCAAAATGGGTGGTAGAATTCCCTTGTAGAAACCGAACAACCTGTCGGAGAAATAAAAGATTTTATGTAAGTAGAGGAATTAGAAAATACCGTATTTGCCGGCGTATAAGACGACT